CTAAGGCAGAGAAAGTATAGTAGGACGGAATGGGGATTCACCCTAACTCCTGGGTTGGGAAGTTTTTGTCAGCCGCCTGCCCTGGATTTTTGGATTCGTGTTGGTAGGGGCTAGTTGTACATGTATTGATCTGGAAACTGGAGTACCAGGCTAACCATTGCGTGACCCTAACCCCATACTAATTGGTAAAGGCTAGTTGCATATTATCTGGGTCGGGGCAGACATATAATCGGATATGTGTATGTGCATAGGTTAGATCCGGGGAGAGGTTTTGCAATAATGGTCCGATAAAGTAACTTCGGTTGTAGATAGCCCAGCCGTATAGGTGAAACCAGAGGGGGCAATGAGTGAGTGGGGACTGGTTCGCCTGTACGTCAGTAAGACAAAGGTTTTTTGTATATAGGAAGGGAGCTAGATATGTGCATATCTAGGGATAGTCACGATTAGCTTGTTCATCTGTACATATGCAGATTGTAGTGCTAGACGAATCTTTGTTTTTTCTTTTGGTGTGATTTAGGTCATTGTGATCAGATGTGTGATATGTTGGCGTGTACAATTGGGATAGATTTGTGTGATTTGGGTCTTTGTGTATGTTTGGGTATATTCCGAGGTATTCGTGTGTTAGGGACGTGAATCACTTGGTAGGATGGGGCAAGGAGTGACCCTGAGGGCATTGTTACGAAGTAGGGATTTGTTCCATTAAGGCATACTGATCGAGAGAAGAAGATATGAGACCTACTTCCTGCCTAGGCTTAGATAGATGTATAGGTGTGAGAGGTAGGAGAGGGTTGGGAAAAAACCTCAGCGTGGGGGAAATAGGCCATCTAGCCTAGGGAGGAAATTGCAAGACTGGTGTATGGGCGACTCCTAGCCTTGCTTTTCTTTGGATATCTGGATATGTCTTGGATTACTTGGGCCCCTCGGATTGAGAAGTATGGCTGCATCGTGATCAAACTGTTTTAGCTATAGTTTGGTCAGGGAGACCATATTTGTTCTTGTGTGATACCGGTGACGGTTTGAGTTGAGATTGTTCAACTCCGAGTGTATATATATAATTCGAGACATTTGGCCCGCGTTTGAGTTGGGGTATTGTAACCCTGTGTATATACTAAGCTGAGGCCTTATCCGAGACTGTCTTTTATATATGACGATCACAATCACTCTCACATGTGTGGTTTTATCCTGATATATGATGGTTTTGTGTGAGAGATGTGTGAAATGCATCTCATGTGTATTGGATTATGTGAACTTTATGAGATTGAATGGATGTGAACTGTCTCCTCTTCGGTATACTTGTGCGGCCTGCCTACAGGCCTACAGGCAGGACAGGGCCGAGTATAAGGAGAGGCAGTGCAGTTTGTTGTGTGACAAAAGTGTGAGAATCCAAAGAGATTTTGCGAGTCTTTGAGACTCGAGTACTTACCATTCCGGATGTTTTATGGTTGAGTTGCGAAGAGGACCCACAAGCAGGTCCCTCAGTTTGAGTTGGTTTGTGGTTGAGTTGTGGAGAGGACCCATAAGTAGGCCTCTCAGTTCAAGTTGTTCTATGGTTGAGTTGTTCTATGATTGAGACCCCTTCAGATTAAGGAAGGTGGTAATGTTACTTATTAGAAGACTCATCCCCAAAAAAGGAGGTGTTTTAAAAAGGGTCGTGTGATAGCTCATCCTAAGAAGAGAGGGATGACTGAGAGACCTATTGAGAGGGACCTCCTTCGTGTGAAAGGTGGTTAATGGATTTAAGGGCATGGTAAGCAGTGTTTGAGTTGATAAAGTCTGGCGAAAAGGGGCTACGTTTGCTTGAGATGTTTGAGAAAGTCGCAAAAGAGTGCAAGGCGAGAGACGTCTCAGGATGGGTGGCTGCTGGCTCTGATCAAGTCAGGGGTCACGACCTTGTGGACCTAGCGGTGATTTTGTTTGTGATTGTGCGAAGGATGCCATGCCTTTCGTGGGAGAGCTGGTAAATGCCTTCAGACCCCTGCGTGATCACACAATGGGCCCGTGATTGGTTTTGCGACGCTCCGTCTAACCACTTGTGCTAGTTGTGGGACATATTGGAGGAATACCAAGCTAAGCGGTAAAGATTAACACCTCTAGGGCGTAACCCCAGTGGATGGCTGCTAGCCGGCGCAACCTGGCTGCGAGACCGCGGAGTAAGAGTTTAAGGGGAGTTGCCCGCCCCAGGGAAATTACTCCGTGGGATAGTGAAGGTTGAAAATTTTGGGGGAGGAATCCTGATTGAATACTTATCAGGAGAGAACCTATCGTTGCGTTACCAACGAGGGTACTGCCGTCGAAATAACAACGCGGTGGGCCGTAGTCCTGGTCCGATCAGCCAAGCTATGGTGGGCCAAGATGGAGACCTAGCCTTTCTGTACTAGACTGCAGAAAGAGTTGAGTGGATATTAGGTATACAAATATACGTATGTGTATTTGATTGCGAGAGATTCTCTGAGAAAGAGGGCGAGAGTGCCTTCAAAGGTCTCGGTTAGGGCCCACGTCCCTAGTTTTGGCCAGGACTAGGGACACCCAACGAGAAGCCGAAGGTTGTCTAGGACCGGGGAGAGGACGGTTGAGAGGGTCTTTGGAACTTATGTTGTTTGCTTCCTAATGGATGGGCGATGTGGCCCAGGTTAGAAACCTGGCAGCATATAGTTGTAGAGGCATGGTTTGATGGAGGCCTCTACGCTGTGTTTGTCGGCTAATCGGATTGGTTCCTCTTTCGTCAGCATCTTGGGTAATCTGATAGCTTTCCCATTTTGCGAAGCGACGGGGATGTCGCTTAATGTGGTCCGGTAAGCTGTCGGCGCGAATACCGTTACAAAGGTATCCGCCCTGGTTTTTGCAAATGACAGAAAAATGAGTTTGGCTTAAAGTTAAGGATACCGCGCGAGGCGCGGCTGCGTCTGTGTGGTTACGAGGGCCGGATGGTTGACTAGAACAAAGAGTATGTGGGCACGCAGTTTTAAGGTGCGCGTGGGATTTTTCTGATTGAGCGGGAGGTCGGCCTAGTCAACCGACCCAGACCGTGTTACGGATCTGGGTAAGGGATAAAAGTTTGTTCTTGGTTGGTACCCGCAGCCGATGGAAGGACTGGCGCACGGGATGGCGCGCGGGGCAGCCCCGGCGCGGTCTAGGTAGGCCTGCGCGGGTGCCTGGCGATGGCACGCTGGTTGTAGGCAGAGAAGGGGGGGGCCCAGGCTGTCCTTCCCAGGCCTAGGCACCGCGCGGCACCAGTTCGTATTGAAACCCGCGCCCAACTATCTCAGGCTTGGGCTTAGCCCTATAGGCTGTGTATCTTTTGAACGGAGAACGGGCGAAATTCAACGGCCGTTCATCCGTTTAACGAGCCCCAGGACCCCCGTTAAATCCCGTTTGACGCAAAAACGGGGGCTTGGCATTGAATTCTGAAAAACGGAATTCTCG